TCACTGAGTTACGCAAGCCCCTTCGCCACGACAAGGCAGTGATCCATGAAGGGGGAAAGAAATACATGGAAGCAATGCCAGGAAAAGATAAGAGAATTAAAAATGGAAAAAAACAACACCTGGACCCAATGTCCTAATAAAAAGTTTTGAATGAGGTTCTGCAGTTTCATGGTTAATAGCATATTTGAAACCATCTCAAATGTACTAATTTGCACAAACAAATAGTGGAACACTAGTTGGAGGTTCTATGCAAAATAAAAATTATGGACATCAAATTTAGTCTAAAGCAACATGCATGTTGCTTTCATCCTAGCTTATGAATAGGAAAAACAGATGTCATTCATGCCAATGCTACCTACCTTCCTGTCCTACACAAGACACGCAGAGTAGCCAGAGTTGGTAGAGAAAGACAATCATCTGGGCCTCTGCAGAATGCACTAGAGGTCTTGAGCAAAAGGCCCTTCCAGAGGCCAAAGTTGAAGAATGTTCATACTGTGCTGCCTTCACCACCTACTCTCCAGAATTCTCAGAGAATTCTTCATCCAGAGGACAGCATTGTTTCCCAGTCTGCAGTGCAATCATGGGGAAAGACAATTTAAGGAGTGGCAGACAGGTGTTATAGGCACATCTCCATATGCTCTGAAGCACATTTTTCCCTTTGAATTGAGGACATTGTTGATTCACATCTGAAGCACTGCTGAGAAGGGAGATGAATTGCAAAGTAAGGGAATGGGTACAAAAACTGTAAAGCAATCAGCTGTAGAAAAAGGGACACTGAGACTCAGTCAAGTCTGAATGTAAAAATTAAATAGAAACTTCATTTCACTGTAAAGATTACTTTAAGTTATTTCACTGTTTGGAACTAGGTACTCAAGTTTTCCCTTGCAGTAAACTTTTTTTATTTATGCAGTTGTTTAATATATTTGAATAAAATTTCCCATTAATACACATTCAAAACAGTACACCAGTGTAAAACCAAACTTCAGAAAACAAAGCATGAATGTGACACTATCTGAGCAGCAGATACAGGTAGTCCTTGCTTAACGACCATTCGTTCGGTGACCATTCAAAGTTATGATGGCACTGAATGAATGGTAGTTACGGCCAGTCCTTGAAGTTACGGCTGTTGCAGCACCCCTGTGGTCACATGGTCAAACTTTGGGCACTTGGCAGCCTGCCCACATTTATGACTGCAGTGTGCGCTTCAACTCCTCCCACCCGCCTATCTCCCCACCATCTGTCCTTTTGGCAACCCTGCATGCTGCTGGCACTTGACCCTCCTGCCCTCCACCGCCCCCAGCTGGCCTTTGCTGTCTTCTTCCTCCTGCTGCTGCTGCTGCTGCTGAGGTGCACCCTGCTGAGGCAGCTGCAGGCCCTTCACGAGGCTGTGGGGTGGCCTCAGGAAGGGCCAGCAGCTGACTTTCGGGGGAGGGCCTGGGAGGCCCGGCACAGCTATTAGAGCGCTTCCCAGCTATTTCCACATTGAAAGGAACCGTTGGTTTCCTGAAGATGTTTGTTTGGTGTGAACCGGTGGAAGTGCGTGCCCTTGCGCTGCGAGGAAAAAAAATCTCAGAACCCTTTTACTCTCTCTCTGGAAGTCAAGAGCTGCATCTCTCCGGAAACAAACAGCTGCGGCTTTGGGGAGCGCGGGCCGATGTAGATACTTGTCAAGTGCCTAGGCCCGTCTGGCCCGTCTGCAAAGGTGGTGAGGTACCGGTGACGCTGACTGCGGGATGCATTCAACATCCGCGAAGGAAGAACTCAACAGAGCGAACTGATGCAACCGTTGCACCGTGTGTTAAGAAACAACAACAACGCTGGCCCCGAGAGCAGCTCTGCGCACGCATCGGAAGGAGCAGGCATCCCGCCGCCAAATGAACAGTCGCCGCCGCTTCCCAGCAGGAAGCAGATTTCCATTCAGCTGCGCTTTTAGCCGCTCTCACCCACCCCTTTACTCCAAGCTGCTGCCGAGCAAGTGCCAATGAAGCGAAGCCAGGGCTTTCTTCCCCTCCTTCTCCGAGAGCCCTGCCTTCCCTTTGCCACGGAGTAGGGGGATTGGCTAAGGGAGCCAGGAACACCCCCTCCCCACTTTTCCATTGGCTGGACACCCTGATGGACAGCTCAGAGGGCTGGTGAAAGGGGTATGCGCTTGCCGAAGGGGCTAGCGGAGCCGGGACTGGAAAAGACAGGGGTGATAAGAAGCCGATTCGGAGCGGAGCTGCCGTCGCCTTCGCAGAGCGTTGCGCCATGGGAGTGGAAGTGGAGACGATCTCTCCGGGAGACGGTGCGGTTCTGGCTCTCCCTCCCTTTGTGTCTTTCGGGTTTGGAACGAGAGACTGCGGAGATAGGAGGGGGAATTGTAGCCCGAGGGAGCTGGGGAGGAGGGGCGCGCGCGAGCGCGCCGCCACCACCACCTCTCCAACTGCTGCAGGGACCAAGGTGGCATCTGCGGGGGAAGTGGGTGCATGTCTTATGCGTGAGAGAGAATGTAAAATATCCGACTTCAGAAGGGAACTGGTGGAGCCATATTTGGGACAGGAGGCTGAATTGGAGGAGATCTTTATCCCGCGAGAGGGTGCGCTAGGCAGCAAGAGGATGATGGACCAACATCAGTTCTAGTGAGTCATGACCTGGGCTGGATCCTGTATACTTTGTCCCTCACCTTTGTTTCCTTTGCCAAACTGTTACATAAAGTATCTTTAAGTTGACTTGTGCTGGCCAACACAGTCTGGCTTCCGAATCTATCTTCCTAGTGTTTAGTGGAAGCTTGAGATCAGAGGAGGTGAGGAGTTGGGTGACTTTCCTCCAGACATGAGGAACTGGAACCCAAAAAGAATGGAAACCTAGAGGTCGTTTAGACAGCAATTTTGGAAAGCAAAATCCCCATGAAAAGTGCCAGGAGAGACTTTACTTGCTGTCAAGTAAGGAAAACTTGAGACTCCCTTGTTTATAATATGGAGGCTGGTGTCTTTCCAGAATGGCATAAAGAAGGAAAAAATCTAGACAGCTCTGTGGGGTCAGTCAGTTGCGGTCTTTGGCTTCTTTGGCAGGAGCAGCCGCCAGGAGCGATTGCGGATATTTAAATGGCATTTGCTGACAGCTGCATAAATCCAAGCATGGCGAAGTAACTTAGTAACAAGAGCAAATTATAGTGACCATCGCCATTTAGCAGACAGAGCAGATCTGTTTCTTGATGCCAACCTGGAGAAGACTTTTACTCTTAGAGCAGCCAGTGTTACAGCTGCAGCACTAGCAGCAAGTGAAGTTCTGGGTGAATCAATGGTTATCATGGACATTAAGGAGCAGTGATGCAAACCCTTGTTGGTTTGCTAAGTTCTTGTTATTAAGGCGCACGAGTCTGGTAGCACCTTTTCCGATTATCACATTTTATTAAAAGGCATAAACTTTTGTTGAGCTGCAGCTGAGTTCATCAGATGCACAGAGAGGCTAAGAGTCTAGACTGAGTAGGATTTTAACTGGGATGAGGTGTGGGGGAAGGGAAGGCAGGTTGGTCATACCGACGCAGGTTGCATATGAAACAGATTGCAAGTACTTTATTAACAATTGTCATGTGTTAAAAACCCATAGTGTTTGTTACCCCCACCCCCACCGGTTAGTTGGAAAAGGTGCTACCAGACTCTTTCTGGTTTTTTGCCACCATAAACTAGGACAGCTTTCCTCCTATAATGTCCAGCATCCAATGTTGAGGAGCTTGTCATAGATGGCAAACTGACATTAATGTGGATGAAGATCATGGCATGGGCAGAACTTGGTTTTATAGTATCTTTGCAGAATTCAGAAGTGAATTTTTTGTTTAGCACATCTCACAATACAAAGAAGGCTCCTGTGAACTCCTTCTAAAATAGTCACAGTATGCTTGCTGTCAACTATAAAGCTTTTGCATAACTTTCAGACCCTAATATTTGGATGAAATGATGGATAATCTGGAGGAATAATAAGGTCTTCACACAGTATAAAATTCTCAGTTTCTACTAGTCATGATGACTATTTAGTACTTCCTGGTTCAGAGGAAGAATATTTCTGATGGTCAGTTGCTGGGAAACAATAAAAAAAGGGAGCAATTGCTTTCCAATCGAGATTATTAGCTTCTCAGAGGCATCACGTTTGCTGTGATCTAGGATTTTTTTCTCTTATCCTGCTCAGATGCAACCAAGAGCCTTTCTTTAATAATTGCTGAAAAAATGGGTTTTAAAAGGGATGGGTAGCAGGCATCTTAGTATAAGATACTGTAGAGTTTACTGCCCTCATATATGGCTGATTGATCTATCAAAAAACGTTAGTTCTGTGGTGGGCTATACTGCAAACTTCTGATCAAACTGCTAATCTAGAAACATTATTTGTGGATGGTTGTCATTTAGTAAAAAGGCTGTTGATTTCTGTATGCAAGCTGGTTCATATCTGAAATCATGCTTTTAAAAAACCTTGAACATTTTAATAATAGGTACAAATAATGATTTATTCCTTCTATTCTTTTTCAGCAGTCCCTTTGTTTTTTGATTATGTTAATTATTATAATTTTGTTTTTGAAGATCAAGTTAAGTTCCCATTTAGTTGTAGATTGAACTCTGGGCTTCCTTGAAAACCTATCAGAAGTTCCTCAGAAAGACCAGCCTACCTGAATAATAGCTGATTTACCCTTACATTTTTTCTTTTTCAAAGTGCAGTAAGAGACTACTGGGCATTTCCATGGCATATTCTAGTTTGTTGGGCTTAAGAAGACCCTGTAGTGATTAGCACGAAGTAGATGCCTCCTGGGTTGTAACTTACCAGAGAGCACAAAAGATACGCTAACAGGTTGATGTGGAAGGTTTTCCCCAAGGGGACAGAATTTTGAAAACCTGAGTCTGAGTAATGCCAGTATGAAGAGAATAATGAATAGACGTTACACTGTGTGTGTGTAATTTTGCAATGTGTGACTTTCCATTACAAATACAGATTGTTTGATTTCTCTTTTTAGTATTAAAAGCCAAACTGAATTGTTGAATAACTGTTTTATATTTTTCTTGTGTAGTTTTATCTGTTGGTTTATGCTGCTTTATCTTTTAAAAAAGTATATTTTACTAAAGAGATATTTAATAACTTCTTTTAAAGCATGTGTTATATTTTTAACAGGAAGGACTTTCCCAAAGAAAGGCCAAACATGTGTAGTCCATTACACAGGTAAGGCCTATTGTGAATAAAATGCATTGTTTATTCTTATTGTTGCTTATTCTTTTAATTTCCTATACACCCCCCCCCACACACACACACATTTATACATAGGGATCAGTGGCATCCTAACCCTCTCAGTGCTTATTTCTGGATAACAGGAATTCTATTCATTGACATGAACTTGATATCCATGTTATTGATAAATTAGCCTAGCCCTTCCAGCTGTATGCTACCCAGCCCACTCCACTTTGTAAGAATGATCTTGAATGGAGATAGAGTGTCTGTCAAGACTGAGGCTGTAGCCAGGAAAACAGCAATTTAGTGTAATTTGAACAACAGAAATAGTTCTACTGCTACTGTGCTACTTTTCGCATCCTGACTTTAGTGCCCTCCCCAGTCATTTGTGGCAGGATAATAGTGAGGAGGAGAGGTAAGTCTCAATGTTCAAGGCAGTGGTCTTTGAGGTATGAAGAGGTAGAGCTCATCTTGATCCCAGCATGAACTATGGAAACTCAAAAAAACTCTCAAGCAAGGATCATTAGAATCCAAGGGTTTATTCTCAAAGATTTCTTTACAGATGTGACAACCAATTTAAGAAGGTATAGTACAAAACAATTCCTTCCGACATAGGCAGTGTTATTCCAGTAAAGACTCCATCAAAATCTCAGAGAAGATTGTGCTGTTAGTACCAAATATTTACTCCCAACATTTGAGGCAGGTGTTTCCAAAATGATGAAATTTTCTGGCTCTGTGTCTAGATTATAGAACATTTTTGAGTTGTCTGGAAGGGTGGCTTGATTTAAGTGTGGCTGTTCAGATCCTGTTTGTCCTATACTGATAAGAATTGCCATATGTATATATTTATGCAGCTAAGCTCACTGTAGAACTGGGAATGAATATGGGGGAGCAGACTGTTATAGCATCAGTTCATGCAAACAGTAATTGTATCAGAAGTAATTTGCATCTGGTACTTTGCTGCTGTAATGTTGATGCAAATAGTTACATTGGCTTTGAAACTGTGATAGAATTGGATCTAAAAGTGATGGCTATTGGACTTGGACTAGACATTTTTACACCCAAGTCCATACTTGATCATGAAACTCACTGGCTGACCTTGGGCTAATCACTCTCCCTCAGGCCAACCTATATCAAGAGTTGGTGTGGGGATAAAGTTAGGGAAGACATTTGTGTATGTAAAAGAAAATCAATGTGGGAAAAGATAGAATATCAATGCAATAAATAGATAATACTTGGTACAGAACGAGGGTGAGTAGACTATCAAGACTGATAGTAGTCTAATTGTCAAATATCTATGAGTTCTGGAAGGAAAGATACTTTTCGTATATTCTCCCTCCCTCCACCCCCATACCAGAAATGTACTTTGTCTTTTTTGTGGTTCCTTCCACACATTTTTTCTCATGCCACAAGTTGAATCTTTCCATTGGGCAGTGAATCTCGTGATTCCATTTGATTCAAGGCAGATGAAGCTTGGGCATTGCACAAAGTATACTTTTTGATTCAGAAAGGAAACAGGGTGCCTGATAAAGAAATCTAATAAGAAGATACATCCTAGCTGAATGGAAGACATCTGTTACACTGTAATGAAAATTGCACTGGAAGTAACATTACTGAAAATTGCACTGCCACACACATTATAATTGTGCCCTAGGAAAGACAAGCCAGCCAAAACCGGTTTAGCTATAAGAAACTTGCAATTTTATTGTTTTTGCAAAGCTTCATTTTTTGAAACAGTTGTAACCTGAGGTGGGATGTTCATTTATATGGCACAGATTCACAATTTGTTTTTCACTACATCATTGCCATGCCTCAAAAGATGGAAGATTGTTATTTCTTAGAGAATTAATCAGCTGTAGTGGCAGCTGATTATCTATAAAATGCATCTCCAAGAGTTGTGGGGTTTTTTAGTGAATCATAACAACAGAAAAACAGTTTGCTTGCTCTGTGTAAAAAACAGTCTTCTGAGAGACTGCAGAAACAGTTAGTTGTTTTGAAAAGTCCCAGATGTAGCCAGTAAAATTCCCATTTTGCTTGTTTAGCGTTCTTCTGTTTTTTAGAGCCAAAGAAACTTAAGAGGACTACCGTATTGTGCGTTGATACCTAATTTACATTAGTAATCATACCATGAAAGTAAGTAAGGTAGCAATTGTAGTAGTTGTTTCCATATTCCATCTTTCTACTTAACAGGAATGATAAAACATTAGTGTTTGTTGCTTTACTTTAAAATGAAATGGGCCAAAGCTTCAGTAGCAAATATGCCTACATCTATGCTTTATGGGATACTTACACTATGGAGAAAAAGCGAGCAGAAGTATAAAACTCACTACTGTATATAATATAGATTGTGGTTTGATTTGCATATCTCACTAAGCTTGTTTTTGGTACTGTACTATAAACATAGCCATTGTCATTTATGAACTCATGATTTATTGCTAGCATTTTGTGGGAACTTAGCCAATTGTTGTGTATTCAACAAACCATAGTTTACTATGGCGTGGTAGTGTATGAAACTGATCAATGTATACTTTCCTCCAAAAGGCAGGTTTTGGTTAAGCAGCTTCTGTTTGCTGGTGTTCTACCTCTTAACTATACTGATTTATAGACATTTATAGGAACTAACTGGTTGTCCCATATACCCATTGAAGAAAATGTTTATTGCCCATTATTGCCACCTTTCTCAACCTAGTGCTCTGCCAAGATGGTGGAGTGCAGCTTCCAGAATTCTGGTTGTGAATTGCAGCCCAGCATGTCTGCAAGGCACCAAGCAGGGAAAGTGTGCCAGGCAGTAATTATATCACACTAAAATCATTGCCAGTATGAAAACATGTTCAATATCTCTTCTGGAAATGGAACCGTTTTTAATTTAGTTTCAGAGAGGTTTCTCCAGCAGTTTAAGTGCTAGGTGATTTCTGCCCTTCCTCTGCTTTGTGGAAAGATGTATATATCATGGAGTTGCTGAAAGGCAATATTAGAACATCTGCTTGATTTTCAAAGTTTGCTGTGTTGGACTGTATTGCTTGCTTCAGTTACATGAAGATTTTAATGTGCAAGATAGCTGATAGGAATATGACTTGTGCTTTAGTCAGCTTAAAACTACTGCAGTTTTCTTACATGCTACAAAAATGTTGACTTGACCTTACAAGTTTGAAATATATTTCTTTTGAACCACCTCATACATTGTTCACAATTTAAATAAGAATCTTTGTGCATCAGTTACCCCTCACCCATTTTTATACTGCATCTCTCTATTTACTTGATATAATCATTACTAGAAGTATTAACAGCACAGAACATTAGGATTAACAGCTAGGTTAATTCGATCATAGCTTATTGCACTCTGTGAACTCATTCACTGTGTTCCACCCAACATTATACTGGAAGATGGGAGCCAATAGCTGTAGATTTTTTCAATTTCATTTTCTCTTCCTAGGTTAGAGACCACCCAAAAATGGAAATTTTTTTCCCCCTGAATAGTGTCACCTGCAGGATTGGAAGGGACAAAATGGAAATAATTAAATCAAGGTCAGGCAGAGATGCCTTCTGTCACCCAGAGCATTGTCCATTAGCAGAATATCCGATCGGTGGGCATACCTGTAATTGGCAGAAGGAATAACTTTGAGGAACAGGAGGAAAAGCCACAACCAAGACAATGATACAGTTCATTGTGTGCTACTACCTTCTTTTGTCACTTATTATTTGACATGGAAACAATTAATTTTGCAAGTGAAAAAAATCATTGTCCACATGAATCCTATAATCTCTGTATTCAGCACATTGATTACACTCAACGTACTTGATTTCAAAGGATAGTTCTGGATAAATCACTTCTTAAATTGATGGTTTGGTTCATTCTAATATTTGTCTCAGTGTAATGCAATTACCATATTTTTCCGACAATAAGACGCCCCCATGTACAAGACGCCCCCCACTTTTCTAGCCCAAAATTTAAAAATCAGTATTTTAAAGATAGTGCAGAACACATTTTTATTTAGTAATTAGTTAACATTTACCTGATACACTCGGTGGGAGGAGGTCCAAACCGTCTCTCTGCAGCTCTATTTCCAGGCTCTTTTGCATAACTGATTACATTCAAGCACGAGTGAAACTGCCGATAGCTTGTCTCTGCAAACAGCCTTCCTCTAATTGGTTTGTTCAGCATCAGCTGACATTAGTTACATCAGGCTCGTGATTGGAGGAAGTCTGTTTGGGAGACAAGCTATTTCACTCAAGGTTGGAGGCTAGCAATAGGAGGAAGCCTCTCTGCAGAAACAAAGTATGGGCAGTTTTGCAACTGCACGATTCTCAGCTGACTTCCTTGAATAAGACGCCCTTCAGTTTTTAGGGTAA